AATGCACAGATACCAACTCTTCTGTTTCTGTCCGTCTCCTTCACTTCCTCTTCAGTCACTCCTTGTCTGATCATGATCTTGACAATGACGGCATTGTTGTTGCAGCAGGCCTTGAAGAAGGAGATGGGCTCTGGACTGTCAGAGCTAAACGAGTAGCGCATGTGAGAGGTGACTGAATTGTCGAGGGGATAGAAGGAGTCATCTGAGGCAATGCTCTGTGTGTCTGAGCGATCGGGCAAGGTCTCAAAGTCCAACTCTTCAAATTCCTGGTAGATATCATCCTCATCCTCCCAGTAATTTCGAGTGTAATCGATTTCAAGTTCCTCATTATCTGCCTCGCTTGATTCCTCGCTCTCATCGTCGTCTTTGCCAGCCTTGGTGATGGACATGGCAGGAATATCCATATCCACTTTATTGGTTCTATACTCAGTCTTACTAATTCTGACTCCTCCAGCCACTCCATTCTCTTGAACCTTTGAACCTTTACCTTGTTCCTCCGTTATTAGCACCATTTAAATCCTCCTCCGTCCAAAACACTCTTGGAAAATCCTTGTGGGAGCCAGAAGAAGTCTAGGAATTCTCAATTACCTTGGAGTCCATTGGCTCTCTGAAATATGATGATTCCTTCTACCCCCCAGGAAACTCGATCCTTCCAGTTTCCCGACTTCCATCAGTTTTTTGCTGCGTTGGATTTCCCAAACGAACAAGGACAATCCTTTATCACTACTGATAAGTCTTTGTTGGTGCCAAAGAGGTTAGGATTCCCGAAGACTCCAAAACACAGTGTCCTCAAAGGCTTGATCGTGTGCATGATCAGTTGCTCTGGGCTGTTAAAGTGATGAAAAAAAGAGTAAAGCAGAATAAAGCATCCTAATCTTTCTCTGATGATATTGTCAAATTTCCATTTTCAAAAAAAGTCAGAGAAAATTATGAAATGCACGAAAGCCACTGCGCTTCTCCGTGTGACTCTTTGCAAAGGCACCACCAGCCCCGTTCATCAGATTGTATGATCATTGCACTGGAAATCCAACATGCAGCTTGAATTTTCCAAGTCTCGGTTAGAAGTTAAAGCTGAAGTTGTCTTTTTGAAAGCAGAAGAACCAGCGCGGTCGTATTGGTTCAAAACTGACACAACTGAGCAGTTGTTCCCCCGTGTTTGCTCACGGGGGAACACTGGGTTTTCTTTGATGATCGCCAGCAGTGGGATCGGGAGAGAGATTCTGTTGAAGTACTGCGTGGTAATCCAATTAGATTTCTCTCTAGCTCTAGCCATTTGGTTACATTCACCTCCCCAGAAACGTCTTCTGCTTCAACACAATAAACTAAAACTGACAAGCACAAGTAGAAAGGACTGTTGAAACTCAATAATTTTAACAATTAGGCTTCTTCTTAATAGAACAAAATAAGCATTACTCTTTTATTTCCACAAGAAAGGCTATTGAAAGCACGTAAGACAAACCATATGGAAAATAAATGTAGCAGATGTTATACTTGTGTCACAAGTGCAGCTGGTCAAGCTGACGCCATCTCCCCCACCTCTGCTCTCAACGTCTTCTGCACTTAACACTGCCAGCTTAAATTGGATTTCTCAGCCACATGATCTCATTTGTATACAGGGCACTTTGGAAGGACTGGAATCACTCAGGCCTAAGAGAGTTTACGAATGTCACCTTCAACAACAACTAAGCTACAGCCTAGTTTGATACAATACACTTTATTCACATCACCTTGTGATACCAGCATTCCCTGGATAAATACATTATCTCTGACAAAGGACAAAAGTGTATCAAAAATAGCATTATAGGAGGAAAATCTAAACGTCTAGAGGTGATTGTTAAGTTATAGGCTTGGTTTTGTAAGTCATGTGATCCAAGCCATTTCTATTTTAAAAAATCAGATTTTGAATAAATGGATTTGATTAACTAGATTTTTCAACTTTAATATTTCAACTGACATTAAAAAAAACTCCCAAAGAGTCAATATGAACTCATTTTGGTGAGACTGCTACTTTCGGTTTTGCACCATAATGGCCGTATCATTTTACATGAATGCTAAATAACATGCTAAATAACTACAATACCATTTTGTGCACATATTTCTATGCAGTGTGTTGTAGTAACATTGACCTTCACTACTATTGTATTCTAATTTTTGCCTCATAACTTTTGCACTGTCCACTTCCTGCTGTGACAAAACAAATTTCCCACGTGTGGGACTAATAAAGGTTATCTTATCTTATCTTATCTTACTAACTGTGTTAGCATGGTAAAATTGCACATGATACACCTGTTTACTAAGCATACTGATTAGCATGCATTTTGGTATGGCTGTGAACTTTTTTTTTAATTTTGTTAATCCAAAACTTTTCTTATCGGCAGTTGTAAGTGGCTGGAAATATCAATGAGTTAACGGCTGAAAAATTGCCATTTAGCTAGCTCTTGTACACTTATAGTAATCTCTTCCACAGCATGTCTTATATCCTGTCTTCCTTCTTTCTCCCCAACCAGTCGCAGCAGATGGCCCTGCCCCTCCCTGAGCCTGGTTCTGCCGGAGGTTTCTTCCTTTTAAAAGGGAGTTTTTCCTCCCCTGTTGCCAAAGTGCTTGCTCATAGGGGGTCATATAATTGTTGGGTTTTTCTCTGTATGTATTACGCTCTACGGGGCAGCACTGTTGCCACACAGCAAGAAGGTCCTGAGCTCAATTCCACCATCAGGCCGGGGTCTTTCTGTGTGGAGTTTGCATGTTCTCCCCGTGTTTGCGTGGGTTCTCTCCGGGTACTCCGGCTTCCTCCTACCGTGCAAAGACATGCAGCTTGTGGGGATAGGTTAATTGATTAATCCAAATTGTCACTAGGTGTGAATGTGAGTGTGAATGGTTGTCTGTCCCTATGTGTTAGCCCTGCGACAGACTGGCGACCTGTCCAGGGTGTACCCCGCCTTTCGCCCTATGACAGCTGGGATAGGCTCCAGCGCCCCCCGCGACCCTGAAAAGGATAAGCGGAATGGATGGATGGGTATTACGCTCTACCTTACAATATAAAGCGCTGTATAAATAAAATTGAATTGAACTGAATTGAATTGATAAATAAAGGAATAAACACAAAATTATACCACACAGTGAAACGTCTTTTGTTAAATTTTGTTTATTTGCTCCCAGTTTGTAGATCAGTATACTTGGTTACAATCTGGACATCTGTATCACACAGCTTGGGATTAATTCCACGTAGTCCAATCTTTGCCAAGTAGGTTACAGTACCTCAGGCAGGTAACATTATTAGCTATTATTAGGATAAACTTTAAGCAGCTGAAATTCTATCAGGCACAGGAACATTAATCTGTAGCTGTTAAATCCATCTGTTAACTGTTTTAATTTCCAATGAGCACAATACTTTTTTTTTCTCCAAGTCTGAAATTATTGTTATGCAAAGTAGAAATCTGTCAGAGAAACCTTACACTTGTTTTCTGCCTGAAGTCTGAAGGTTTTACAATAGAGCAGAAAAGGAAATGGGTTTTTTTGACAGTGCTAATCTCTTCTGAACCACAGCCGCTTACTCCATGATTTAATCGGCATGAAAACGTTGAGCCCATTTTGCTTGTTAAAAAAATGAAGCAACAGGTTGGGAAAATCAGATTTAGCTTGACAGCAGAGATCAGGTTTCCACTGCATATGCTCCTAATCTGTATTTGGGCTACCTGTTAAGACTGCCAAATCCAATTACCTTTGTGCTAATGCACAGAAATAACCCCATATCCTATTTTGTAGCCGTTTTTTTTCCTTAGACATCATTCCAGTTTGGAATTAGACCGTTCTGAACCGCTGACACTCACGTATGTGATTGATGTTGTTTTAATTATGAAATAAATTTATGTGAATAAATATTTAGAACACCTGCATGTTTCCACAAAGTAGCACCATGAAACGTGCAGGGGTACTCATATAACATGACTTAGCCACCCCTCTGATTGGAACAAGGGTTTCTTCAGCAATGAGTCTTCGTACCAAAATATGAATTCTAACATAACATTACCACATGGGAGGCCACAAGCCTGTATACTCCTAGTGCCCAGATAAATGGGGAGGGTTGTGTTAGGGAGGGCATCTGGCATAAAATCTTTGCCAAACCAAACATGCGGATGAAGAAGAATGAGATTTCCATACCAGATCGGTTGGGGCTCGGGTTAACGATCATCACTAGAGTGCCGGTGGAAACTGTTGGCCAAAGACAAAGGAAGAGGGGAGGTGAAGGTGTGTTTGGAGGCAACACGAGAGAAGGAAAAGCAGGAGTGAGGAGGTGATTGTGGGGCCTGGTTCTGCCAGAAGTTTTAACTGTTAAAGGTTTTTCCTTCCCATTGTCACCAAGTCTCATCTGATTGTTGGGGTTTTTCTCTGGATAGTTGTAAGGGTCTTTAAAATGCAATTTAAAGTGCCTTGTGAGTTGGCACTAAAAAAATCTAAATGAAATTAATTGTTTTTTCCAGTGCCTTTAACATCATCCAATCACTTTTGCTGAATGAGAAGCTCCTCGGGATCAGTGACAGCACTTCAGCTGTCTCCTGTTTCCCAAGGCTGAAACAATCATTGGTCAGAATTTGGATGCGTTCAAGTCTTTGAGGGGCAGGAGGTCACTGAACAAACTGCTCTCCATCATGGACAACCCATCTCTCCCACTCTTTACTACTGAGGCAGCAGAGCTCACTGCCATAAAGAACCCTTCAGGAAATCACTCCTACTGTTCTCCAAGAAAGTGTACAGTAACTCTTCCATCTGCGACGGGTGAAGACACCTGTTAGGTATCAGATTCACCCCTTGACCCCTATGATCTCTAGAACTCAAACACATCCCGACCTGTCTGGGCCTGTTGGCAGTGCGACAAGTTTAACACCTATTGGAAAAAGAGGTTAAGTGTCTTTAAGGACTTCACATGTAGCTTGGGTCCCAGACTAAACATTTGTTTAAAGGAGACATTGGCCACAACTTGAAGAAACAGCAATCTTGAGGAATCTTTTCAAGCATTTATTATGTTTCATATGACTGAACCAACAATCAGAGCTTTAAGTATACATCTTTATGTTACAGTACATGCCACTGCCTTTTTCCACATATAAAAATAGAAATTATTTCTTCTAAAAATTCAACACTAAAATTCAAAGTGTCCAGCTCAGTTCAAAGACTAAAAAGGTCACTTTATAGCATCATATATTTATATAAGTTGAGCACTCCACACAGCAGTAGGACTACAGCTAAAGTAGCACTAAAGTTGATGTCATTCACAATCGATAGAAAAGCAGTTTGTACTCATTACACTAATAATTCAGTGTGTTGGGGAAAACCTATGATTTAAGTAAAAGCCACTGTATACAGCCAGTTAGATACGGACACATTTCAGTCTCATTGGGGCTAAAATAAATGGAGCTAGCATGACTGTGTTACAGTGGATTCTGAAATGATTGCAAAGTGTGGTACAAGGTGCAAAACATTAAAACATTTGCATAAAAAAATTAGTTACCAAATCAAGTCGCTTAAAATAAAATTTGTTTTATGTTCTCATTAGTAACAAAAATGATTCAGAAAATAGCCGGAGCTCATTTCACTCAGTGAAAATAAATCTTTTCTAAAACCCAATTGTCTGCTTTCTTTCTGGATCTACACATAGGACACATCACAACTCTGTCATGTGAAAGGAGAAATGCTGGGCAGCATAGCAAACCATGTGGTCACACAAGTAAGACAGTGGGAGGACAAATCTCAGACAATGACTTTTCCACATGCACAGTGAGTATAGCTATTTGTAGAAAGTGAAATGTGACTCTGGGGAAACGATTCTTCACATTTAGGCCACATGTTACATGAGAATACCTCCTACAATCTTCAGACGTCACTGCACTTAGTCAACACGTATAGTGATCTAAGAAAATCCAAGGAGATTACATGGAACATGTTGGCTTTTTCATAAAAGTCATTTTTGTGACTTGTTCCAGTTTGTGAAACTGAAAAATTGTACAATTAATTTATTAATCAGTCATTAACTACAGGTGCAGTGGGTGGCGTCTGTTGCAATTTGACTTAAAGCTAACAGTTTCACTACTCTCTGACTTTACTGTGGTATCAATGTTCTCATGAAACCAGCCCATCAAAGAATGTTCAACTACTCCTTAAAATTGTAAAATTGCAAACTAGTTTCACAGATACAAAAATCAGCATCATGCAGGTGTCATTCAAACTTCTCATTTCTATTTAAGACAGTTTCTTTGCAGTACTTATGCTGGTTTACAGATACAGTCTGCTCATTTCATGCATGCCAATGCTAAGTATGCAGGACACAAGAACAACCACAGGTGAATGTTAGTGTTACATAATCGAGGACGAGCCACCTTCTTCCAGCTTCCTGCTATTCAAGGCTTATTTTCAATTAACAGTGAATTTCTTACATGAGAGTGCAGAGAATAATCCATTTCTCCCTCTGAAAATCACCTTAAGGACCTGTGAGCAGGTGAAGACGTGAATGTGGGTCAGTTTCAGCTCATTTGTTCTCTCCTCTTCTGCCAGAGAAGCTAGCATATTTATCATGTTCCGGGGAAAAAAAAACAAAAAAACAAAAAACAAAACAAAAAAAACCAAAAACAAACAAAACCCAAACCCCTCTTTTACTTCACCACAAACTGCTCTACTTAATGTTAACTATGCAACAGTAACACCTGGAAATCCTAATAATATTTAGTAGCAGCTAAGCTAAAAACTACTTTGTTAACTCATTTTAAATCAGGGATGCAGAAAACTCTCAGCTCCATCAAAGCTCGTCTCAGTAACCTAAAAGATTTGGTACCCTACACCCTCAGTTGTGCTGTGAAGACTTTTCCGTAAACAAACGACACTGTCTTTAACCAATTGTCTCACTCCGCGGTACACTAACCAACAGGAGCACAATTGTAGGGACACTGCAGTGATGGGGCAAAAAAAACCCCAAAAAAACAAAACCCTAAGAATCTATGGATACACCATCAGCAATTCCTGCTTTGCAGGTCCTGCAGTGACAGTCAGTTGGGCAAGCTGCGCCCATCTCTCAGTAGAGACACGAAACACATCAGACAACGCAACGAGCCCATTTCTATCTACCCTACAAATATAGACAAAAGTTTAATGTGAAGCCAGCATTAGGGTGTTACTTGTAACTAAATTGATTTGATGTGCTACGTCTTGACCTGACTGAGCTTAGCAAGTCACAGCAATTACATGATTAATCAGAGCAAGTAAATCAGGAAGTAAATAAAGCACCGACACAAGCTGGCTCTGTGTGAGGGGTGCTTGAGTTTTCCAGTTCAGTTCATTAGTCATGTTTCTTATTTTATACAGCTGATTTTCAGGTTAGTGTGAGTAGCTGATTAGCAGCACTGCCAGCTCTGTCATCTCTAAGTCCCTCTAAGAGTGATGTACTAAAAACAAACAAACATTAAAAAAAAAAAAAAACCCAAAAAAACAACAGTCAGTCCAAATTAAACTGGGAAGAACATTTTGCCTCCAGTTATGTCCCACTTTCTCTGCTGAAACCTTTTCCAATCAGACTGTAGGGTCTGTAAATGTAAAAAAGCCCAGTCCAGGGATTTAGCATAAAGAAATGCAGTCACGTCACTTGCAAAGCAGCCGGTGGCAGCCATAGTGTAAACAGTTTGCCTGTGTGTTATCCTCTGCTCATCGATGGAGGCATTTGCAGAAATGAGCTCAACCACCTGCTGTGCTCCCGTGCTGTTTGGGTGTGAAAAACCTTTAAAATTTAATGGAGAGAGCTGAAAACTCATTTGTTCTGTGCTGTGACTTTTCTATTCTCAGGTTTAGACCCTCTCCTTTGTAGAAGGTGAATTTGCTTCATTTTAAAAACCAGACTGATGCCCAAACTTACAGGCCCATGCCTCCAAAAACAAACAAACCACAGGAGCCCGTCCTTGGCGAGTGTGGCCATAAAGAAATGCAATTTTCATTTTTTCTAATTCTCAAAGGGTCATCTACCAGCTCACTCAAGAAATATACAAGACTAAAAATATATGAACGCACACATCTAATAAAAACCACTAAAAAAAGAAAAAAAATACAATCACATTGCTACGTCATTCATGTCTCTCCTCATCACTGACTACTTCATTCTGATAAAGGGAGGTGAGGAAAACTTGTTGATGCACACAGGAACAGAGAGGGATTCTTGTTGTGGTTATGTACAGGTCTAAACAAAGTGACCCAGACACTACTTTACAACATTCACTCAAAGGGAAGCACAGTCTGAGGTAAAAAAATCTGACTTCAACACAAAGCCTTTTAAAAACAAGTGAAATACAAATGAAAACTTCAGCTGCGTTGGACATGAACGTTTACCAGGATGGACAGTTGACGAGTTTCAGTCTGCATTTGAAGCAGACAGCCGAGCAGGAAGAAAACAAAAGAGGTTTCATCACAATACGTTGATGGTGGCTACTGGTGATGGGCTAGTGTGAGTATGCTCCACCGATCCCACAGCACGGTTCAGTCTATGAGGTGGTGCTGTAGGAGGACACGCTCCTGCCCGCCTTACGTTCATAGTTCACCAGTCGCTGTCCAACCAGGTACCTTGCAGGAGGGATGGAAACAGTTAGGTTATTTGTTAGCTTTGCAAACAATTTAAAGAGCAGCATGGAAGGGCACACCACTGACTAGCTAAGATCTTTCCTCGTATTCCCACTGCAGAGCTACAACTGCACTAACACGCTAGTAGGGACAACCCTGGAAGCCGTGCAGACATTTTACACTGTTTAATTTTATGTTGAAATATTTTAGGCAAAATAAAAAAAAATAAAAAAATGAACCACTATAAAAATATTTTTTTTCATGGCGACTTTAAAGTAAAAGGTTTGACTTGAAGACCAACGGCCTCCATTTGTGGTTCGTGTAAGACTGTTTGCAGACAGGTGGCATGCAGAACAGCGGAAATCTGCTCACAACAAAAGCGATCACAGGGAGGTTTTATGTGCAGTCCTGTGAGACCGATTTCATCTAACGACAGCAAGCAATGTCCCACGACCACTTGCCAATGTTCATTTTTCTGTAGTAAACAGTGGTTGCTATGGTTACCAGTGGTAACCAGTCTCCAAGCCAATGTAACTGAGGCCTTAAAAGTTGTCTTCTTGGAAAATAAACTTCTGTGTCGCTCACACCTCCCTACTCTCTCCTTCAGAATTACTGATCAGCTTTACTGATCAGAGCGTGAATACGCATCAATGAATTCAAACATGACCCTGACCAAACCTTTGTCCTGTCAATATTTGACAAACATAAATGGAATCGTGTTTCCACACCAAGGTTCTGCTACTGGATTTTCTCTGAATCCTACCAGAACACCGAGCCCCCCCCCCCAGTGTATATAATAAAATAAAAAATATATATATATATTTAAAAAAAAAAAAAAAAGTATCACCACTACTCACTTGTCATTTTTGATGTGTTCGTAGAGGCGTTTGAACTGTCGTATCTGAAACGACAGGATGGCCAATAGGATGAAGACCATGAGCAGGAACGGATAGATTCTCCTCTCCACAAGTGTCTGCATCTCTGGCTGTACTCCTACATACAGAGAGAGAGAGAACAAGCAGTGAAACAGGAGCTGCTGTTTGGGTCGTCTTCAGGAATTGATGGGCTATAACAGAGAGGGTGAGGTAAGTGCCAGAGAGCAAGTCACTTAACATTTGTCAAGAGTAAACATTGAGGAAAGACTAAACCAATCAGCTGCTTAGAGAACAGCTAACAGTTTATTCCCAGGAGAGGACTGGGAATTCTTAATTGACAGGTTGTTTAAATGCATGTGTTGTCTGTGTGAACATCAGAAATCCCTGTTTAAACCACAGCTACCTTTTAATAGGCTTTGCATAAAAAGCAGATTTTAAATGCACCCTGTCTAAATTAGTGAGGCTCTGCCGGTACCCTGGCCTCTGTGCCTGAATTTTGATCAGTTTCTAATTTAATCAACAACCAACAACATTTATTTTCATTCTCAAAGTTGCAGAGTCTCAGTCTGCTCTAAATTTTCAGTATCAGCAAAAGTTATAGGCAGAGGCCTTAAAGAAAGAAGAGTTAGAAGGGCTCATTTTAGACTAGAGGATGAACTGAGGGGCTACACTAAAGCTGTCCCTCTGATGACCTTTATTTAACTTCTGAGTACATCTTGAACTGTGAATCATCTAAAGCTACTCTAGCGGAGTCCAAGAATGAGTATAATAGGTCTACTTTATGGATCACTGCTATCTCAAATGCTATTATATCTAGGGAAAATGACAGTTCATTACTAATAATCATAAAATAATAATTATGTCTAAGTTACACAATTTGGCCATAAGTTCATTTTCTTGTATTACAGAGAATTATAAGAAATACCACATAATGTAAACATAAAAAAAGAAACCTGTTCATCTGTACTGCACAGACTGACTGTAAAGGTTTTGGCTATTCCCTTTAGAAGCCCCCACTCTGCTTCCATCTACCCAGCATCCTCATCTGTCACACCAACCCTCTGTAGTTAAGGAGGAATCCTTAACTACATCTATGACACTTATGAGTTCTTCTTGTATTCCTTTGTCTAGTACAGGTGTGGGGGAACTACAGGCCTCAAGGGCCGGTGTCCTTCAGGTTTTAGATGTGTCCTTGATCCAACACATCTGATTTAAATGGCTAAATGACCTCCTCAACATGTCTTGAAGTTCTCCAGAAACCAGGTAATGAACTAATCATTTGATTCAGGTGTGTTGACCCAGGGTGATATCTAAAACCTGCAGGACACCGGCTCTCGAGGCCTGGAGTTTGACACCCCCTGTTACAGCAGGTCTCCCTTTCACTCTTCCTGCCATCCTTCTGTCACAAATCACCCCTCACATTCGTCTGCACCCTCTCCACCCTGCCTGCAGTGTTCTGCACCGTCCATTGCTTTGTATTGACTTCAGTTATTCTGAAATCTTCTACCTTCACATTTTCACCTTCTATGCATTTTGTACCTCTCTCCCTCCACCTGTTCCCTACTCTCAGTACAGATCGCAATGTTGTCTGCAAAAATAGTCCCTCAAATCTACCACTGAATTGCTGTCCTCATGTACTGCACCACCCTGAGGCACTCCCACAGTTCCTCTCTTGGCACCTTATCATATGCTTTCTCTGAATGCACAAAGACACAGTGCAACTTCTGACCTTCTCTGTACTTCTCCAGCAACACTTTCAAATGGTAAATGGCCTGTATTTATATAGCGCTTTACTAGTCCCTAAGGACCCCAAAGCGCTTTACATATCCAGTCATCCACCCATTCACACACACATTCACACACTGGTGATGGCAGCTACATTGTAGCCACAGCCACCCTGGGGCGCACTGACAGAGGCGAGGCTGCTCGGACACTGGCGCCACCGGGCCCTCTGACCACCACCAGTAGGCAACGGGTGAAGTGTCTTGCCCAAGGACACAACGACCGAGACTGTCCGAGCCGGGGCTCGAACCGGCAACCTTCCGATTACAAGGCGAACTCCCAACTCTTGAGCCACTGCAGTCCCCTCAGTAAGCAAACACACACTTAAGCTCTTTCTGCTGCATCTTCCACAGCATGTCTGTATCCTGTTTCCTTCTCTCACCCCAACCGGTCGCAGCAGATGGCCCGCCCCTCCCTGAGCCTGGTTCTGCCGGAGGTTTCTTCCTGTTAAAAGGGAGTTTTTCCTTCCCACTGTGCCAAAGTGCTTGCTCATAGGGGGTCATATGATTGTTGGGTTTGTCTCTGTATCTATGAAGCGCCTTGAGGCGACTTTGTTGTGATTTGGCGCTATATAAATAAAATTGAATTGAACTCTGAATTGTTAACCATGCTTCAGCATTGCTTTCCCATCTAGCCTCACAGTGTGCTTATCAACTATATTCCTCTTTTAGTTACTACAGTTGTGCACATCAGCCTGTCTTGAGGAAAAACAAACAAAAAAAAAAAAAAAAAATCAGGACAAGTCTCCATTCTTCAGGGTTCCTCTCACTCTCCAAGATTGTGTGTTTTTTTTTTGTTTTTTTTAAATAAACCCTCCAGTGGTTTTGGTCTCCCTCTCTTTGTACTCTTTCCATCTGCATCCCGAATTATCCTGACCTGCTGCTTGATCAATCTAGCTTGCTCCCTTTGACTAGCCAGTCGATGCAAATGCTTTTCTCTTTCCTTAGTGTCCAGCTTGACATAACTCACTATAAGCCTTTTCCTGTGTCACCTCATTCTCAATGCAATGCTCCTGTTTACTTTCTTCAATTCACTGAGTTTCACACTTTATTCATCACGAACCACTTCCTTTGAACACATTTGTGTAGTAGATTCTCACCACACACACCATCTTGCAGTCTCCCAACACAATTGATATTAAAATCTTAGAGAGGGGGTATAATTTTTTTTTCCTCCCATTAGGCCATCTCCTATTCCAATTACAGAAGGAAAACTTTACCAGAAACATAAATACACCAGAAATCAGTCCTCTAAACACTAAAAAGTGATCTTTGTTGTGTACACTAAGGTACAAGAATATCCATACATCCCTGAAAGAGACATTTCAAGCAACATACCTAACAGTGGTGTAACACCTTTAGAGACTGTGTAGGGCAAACAGAGACATAGCAGCAACACACAGATGACTGGGGCAGCCAGCCTATGCACAATGAAATGGAGGTCAATATTTCTGATGCCGTTAGCATACACCTGCAGGAAGGAAGGAGGGAGAGAGGGAGATTAGTTCCTTCATTCCAGTGTGGGAAAACAGGATTTTATCAGTTTGATGATACTGACATTTTTGCACATTTCTCATCTGCATTGTTTAAGTGTTTATTCGTTATTTTGACTGCAACTTTGAAGAATGCAAGACTGACCTGCTCAATAACGGTTTTAAGCCACCATTGAGGGCCCATCAGTGTTATAGCAGCGATGATTTTAGCATGAAGCACACCCAACGCCCAGTCCTGTCACACAAAGAGTCAGTACATAACCAGGACACAAAGACACCATCGCAAAATATCATCACGTGAATGCTTCTAATGTTGACATGCCAACATCCTCAAAACAGACACAAGGTGTTGATTTGTTGCTGTGATTAGATCAATTCATTTAACATCACAAGCAGCATTAACAAGAAAATAAAATGGTTGAGAAGAATAAAAATAATGCAGTAACTAAATCCAAGAAGTAACAATTTAGTTCACCATTTAGAAATTTATTCACATTTTCTTAGGTAAGTGTTCCTACCTGCCAGGGGTAGAAGAGAGGCGTCTGGTCTAGTGGCACTCTGAGAGGAGCAACAATGACCAGCTCAAACAGCAGACCCAACAGCAGAGGAATTACCGCAGCTAACAGCAGGGCTACCACCACCGTCTTAAGGATCTGTTCCCATCAGGACATCACACCCAATCCATAAATCAGAATACAACTTGCCACAGAACAGCTGAGAAATGATATATTTGCAGTCGGTGGGACAGAAATCCACATTACCATGAGCGTCCACTCGTGGACTTTGAGCATGATGACTGTCCGTCCCTGTGGCATCCAAGACAGCAACACCGTGGCAGCTCGAATGGACAGCCAGCAGACGTAAAGACCGCTGGCTGCTGTGTACAGCTCATGAACCATGGCGCTGCCCATCCAAAAGGACATCAACCAACGACCCACGAACAC